ATGCAAAAAAAGAAAAAGTTACCCAAAATAAAAGAGAGAGATACAAGAAAGATGAAATTAATTGACTAATTAACTGGAATATGCTATCAAGTTACTCCATTTATTTTGCAAAACTGAAATATATTCCGTCAAAAAAAAGTTTATTATTATATTTCAAAAATGAGAAAAGTCATTTTCGGACAAAATAAAACCACACTGATATACTAAAACATTCTGCTTATATCCTCCTCATTTCAATAATTTGCTTCAAAAACATGTCAACAAGTTATATTTTAAATTTTAAAAATATAAATATACTATTAAATCTCTTGCAGTTATTATATAAGTATCACCATTTACTTTTATTCTACGCTATTAGTATATATCATAACAAAATTTAATATTAGTAAAATTACGATTTCTTGCTACATTTATACGTGGAGATATAGGCAGAATTAGTTGTCTTCTTTTCGGTTTTAAGATCCTAAAAATTCATTGTTAGATATCAAACAAAAATAAGAAGGTAGCGGAATACTTGACGAGAAACTGTACGCGTACGGTACATGTATATTTGTTACTATGCTACCGATAAAATAAATTGTATGTTTTGAAAACTTTTCGAAAAAAAAAACTGTTTTAAAAATGTGATAGCCGGAGAATGTAATAAGTGCCATTACACTTATTACACATACATATATATTACAGTACTTGCACCATAGTTTCTACTACTACATAATGTATTTTGTTATTAAAGTGTATAAATCACTAGTTTTTTGTTACCTTTTCTTGTTTTAACACTTGCCATACCATATATTATGTATATTCATTGTTGCCGCACCTTTACCGTAACTGTCATCGAACCTTTCGCTACTGTACTTGTACTGTACACACATGCCGCACCTTTACCGTAACTGTTATATATATATGTTACGTACAATTTTGTCATATTGTAAATTTTATAGATATTCATTTTTATTTAAAAAAAATTCTTGTTACAAAAAATCAATTTCTCAAAAATTGATCCAAGACAATTAAGGGATTACTCTGCAAGAAATAAGAAATTTTTTGATGAATTTCAAACGTTAATATGCAATCAAGCATAAGCTGTAATCGTCTCTACACAGTAACCATGTCTTTTGATACAGTAACTACGTGATACAGTAACTAAGATACAGTAACTACGTTGCTTTTCCAGAATCCAGAATAATTAACGAACGACAAGTGTTGTTCATTTTTTTTTTTCGCATTTATAATTGATCTATGCATATATAAGTCATGATGAAATGATTATAAATTCGCATAAAAAAATGCTGAAAAAGTATTTGCATAAAAATGATGAGAGAAGGAAAGAAACAAAGAAAGAAAGAGAATGATGTTTGAAAGTTTGAACAAATTTATGAATTGGTCCCAAAACAATTAATGAAATGGAAAGCAAATTTCTTTCTGTTCATCCCACTGTCAAAATCCTTTCTGTTTTCATTACTTGAAGAGGAAATTTTATGTTTGAATGGCAAAAAATAAAAAAATGAAATATAATTTCTTTTTTTACTTTTCTTTTTTTCTTATTTCCTTTTTTCATTCCACATTTATTATACATACTACCAATGCATTATTGAAGTTAGAAAATTTTTAGAACTGCAATACTTATTTTGAAGCAGTAAATTAAAAGCGAATCACTGGTAAATGTTACTATTTTACATACACTTCATCTTAATTAATTTAGCATTGCTAATTTCTCAAAAAAAAAAAAAAATTTTTTTTCACCAATTTCAGAAAATAATCAAAATTAAATCAACATTTTCTAGCTTAAAAATAAAATCAAAAATGTTTCATGTCAGCAAGTAAAATATGATAACTTAAAGAATATATTAAATTCCGGTTAAGATTTCAATCAAGTTTAATTTTAATATCGCGTTTGACATTTATTACATGAATTTTTATAGATAAAAAAATTAGGCCCTATCATAATTTTATTTAAATGAATTATTTTGCAATGGAATTTGAATTCAATAACAGAAATTAACAACAAAACAATTTAGCAAAACAAAAAGCTAAAAAAAAATCCCCTGGTTATTTTTATTCAATTTAAAAAAAAAAAAAAAAAAAAAAAAACAAAGCTATTCTTCCTTCCATTTTTTTTCAACGTTCTTTTCTTTTCAAAAGCGAAACGAAATATACAAATAAATTCAAATTTATATATTGTCTAAGATCGATCCAAATGAAATGCAAAATAAAACGACAACATTTAAAGTTTTACCTGACGACATTAGTATCAAGCCGCATGCTTTCATTTTAATGGTATTTGAATTGGAGTTAAAAATTCCTTATATGACAATGATAAAAAACTTCAAAAATAGAAATTATTTCATTGCCAGATATTTTTCCATTCTAAATTAATAGTCAGTTTTGAAAATAATTTATAAGTTAGTTTAGTTAGTATAAACAAATTATAATAATCGAATAAAATAACATATATGAATGAAATATTATTTGTTTACAATTGATGAAAGTGATGAAACAAACAAACGATTGAATGCTTAATCGCATAAAAAGTTATTCCTCATTTCAAGCACTTTAAATTGAAATGGCAATGACATGTCATATCAGTTTTTGCCTTCTCTCATGCGTTTTTCCCTATCAATCATTCTAAATTTTACTCCCAATGGGAAAGGTATTTTCTAGAACTTACTTACTGCCTCTCTCTCTCTGTGCTGAATATTTTCGTAAATAATGTGTTGCAAGAATGCAAAAAAAGCAAATTTTTCCTATGTATTGATTTAGTGATGGAATAATGGATAACATGAATTTTAATGAAATAAAACAAAGAGGATGTAACTAATATGATAATTGAAATAATTTAGCATTATTAATGTTGCTGCTCCTAAAAAAATATAAGAATATTTATGTAATTTTATCTTATCACTCTAAAATTCGTCACTTTAAAAGTTTTTGTCATTTTAAAATCATTTTAAAATTTGTTCAGAAAACAAGGAATGTTTCAAATATAAATCATAAGTCATTAAAGCGTTATAAAATTCTTCACTTTCATTTTTTTTTGTTTAATAAATTGTTTAATTAATCATAGATTAGAGTTAAATAGTAAGAAAAATAGTAGGAAGAAAAAAGTTCTTCCTTTTTTTTAATTCTATGTAATTAAAAAAAAAAACTGCGAAAAAAAAACTCTAGCAAGTAAGATAGGGTAAAAAAAAGGAATAAAGATGAAAAGAATAAAGGATTGTCATAATAATATGATGAAGCAAAGTTTTGCATCAGTGAATGAAAACTTTTTTTTCACCAAATGTCGCTATAGCGACATCAATTCATTTCAAGTCTAATACTTCATTTAAGCAAATCACTAAAAAAAAATAGTACATATATTCGTTGTTAATCATTTAACTTATTTCTCTCTAAATAAAATTACTTATTCTAATAAAGTATATAATATTTTAACGCTAATGCTATCATATACGTTGCAATAATGGACGCAATATTCTTACGTTTGCTAAATAATACAAATATTTTGACGCTAATACTAATAACATATGCAATATCCTTACAACTTATAAAATACACAACATTTAGATCGCTAACCTTAACATACATATTATAATAGTTAAGTAATATTTTTACTCTACGGCACGTGATATTCCTATTTTATTATAAAAATGTAACACTTTTTTTTAATACAATGATACAAGTTATTGTTAGATTAACGTAAAATTTTCATAACATATTTATATAATATTCCAACGACAATTTGCTTATTGATTTTTCTGCTGAATAGTGATTGAATAATTGTCATAGTTTAATTCTAATTATTAAAATATGTAAAAAAAAATTCAGTTGAAATTTGTTTTTTGAAATTTAAAAAAGACGAATTAAAAGGTTATTATCAATAATAAAAGTATTAATATTTAATACAGGTAAACTGACGAATTGATCGCTGTCATCGTCTTGTTGCTGCCTGGCAACCGATCATGCTATTTTACTTTAATACCGATCTGTTTGTTTAATTCAGTTGTTACCTCTCTCTCCCCTTGCTTCTCTCTCTCTCTCTATCCCTCTCTTGCTTACCTCTATCCTTTTCCACGTGCCTCTCTCCTTCTTCTCTCTTTCTCTTAAATCTTCGCATTTCTCACCTTTTGCAAGACAAAAATAAAATACATTGTAAATATAAATTATCATTGATCATTCATTTAAATGTACAAGTATTCTATCGCTTCCTAAATTATTTTTATATCATTTAGTTTACATCATGCAGGAATAAATAACCGTATATTATTACTAGTCATTATCAATTTGAAAATTTTCAAAAGTTCATATCAAATGACCATTCGATCAATATTAGATTTGAAAAGTTCATCTCACATCACTTGTCTTACAAACATCAAATTTTAAAAGTTCACTTTACATTACTTCTTTCATTAATTTCAAAAGTTCACTTCATTTTACTTCTGTCATCAATGTTAAATTTTAAATATTTACTTAATATCAATTGGAACATTTACATGTCTCATTCATATAAGTAACCTATAAATTAGTAAATGTATTATGATATCAATTAATTATTTTACCTGAAATGATGTGAAGTTCATGTCGAAATATTACAATCTTTATTGCTTTTTTCTTTGTTTAAATACTCATTGATAATTTATTGGTGAAACGTTTGTTTAATTACTAAATATTTAGTTATTACTATTTAATTATTAAACATGCTGTAAGGATGCATCATTTTTTTAATCCGTTAAATATTTAGTATTATTTTTATTATAAAATTCATCGATAAATCATCAAAAAGTTAAAAAACCGCAGTAGAATTATAATCATGGCTGAAGTTATATAATAGCGATAATATAGTCATTATGCAATAGTAATTAGAACGTAATCATGATTACAACAGAATTGCAGTAGTAGCAAAATCATGATAGAATGAAGTTATAATGTAATCATAATCACAATGGAATTGCAATAATAAAATTACTAATCCCACAATAATATTGCAATATTCGGTTATTAGTTTGTTACAGTGAACCGAGAAGCGAATCGAATAATTCTTCAAATTCTGTCGCAATCTGAAATTTAACAATTTGTCATTTTAAAGATGACAATTAATAATAATTCAATATGTATCATCTCTTTGGCTATTTCAATCAAGCATGAGTTAGCAAAACGATTTTGAAACGTAAAAAATTACCATGAAATAAATGCAAAAGGATTAAATAGAGAGAAGGAGAAAAAGAAAGGAATTTTGATTTGAATTTTGAAATTTCAATAAAAATAAAAGCTTTGCTTACTGGTAAATAATGACCTGAACCATTGATTATTGATAGGATAACATCTTTACTTTCTAATTTTTCTTTAAACTTTTTCACATTTGACAATGGAACTATCTAAATAATTCATATTAATTGAATATTATATTTTTCATTTCCCTTATTTAATGATAATTTGATAATTATTTGTTCAAAATTTTTTTAAATCGCATTAACGAAATTGCTTTAAAAATGATAATAAATGACCTAGTTTTCTCCCTTTTTTAATGCAAACAAAAGATTTTGCTATTTAAATATAATAACTTTTTCAAAATTTAAATTTACCTTATCATCGGATCCATGCATAATTCTCACAGGACAATGAATAGGAATTGATGCCATTCGATTACTTATGCAAGTCTAAAAGTGTCATCCAATTTTTAATTTAAAAAAAATAATTTTTGTTGTTGAAAGAAAGGGAAGCAAATATTAATAAATGGTTAAAACATTTTGAAAAATGACAAAAATATATCGCATACTTTAAACAGATCAAAACAACTGTGAAATAAATAAAGTGGAATAATTGTCAAATGTCGTAACAACTAAATTAGTCAGTTAATCAATCAATCAATCAATTAAATGAAATCAAATCGATCAGATCAATAAATTAATGAATCAACAATTAATAAATTAAATGACACTAACATCAACAAAATGTTGTAGACATTGTTGATTGATCATTATTGGTGGAATATTTTTACCTGCTGAAGGATGTGGCACATTTTTACCAGCCAAAATTTTTTCCCAAAATTCTGGCATAACAATATGAATGTATGATTTTAAATTTAAGCCTACACCAGGTGATAAAAGTATTAGGCCACAAATAGCCTGTGGCTTTAAAAGTGTAGCACGTAATATACTATGACAACCAGCGCTACAACCTTTAATGTAATAAAAAATATTAATAAAAAAGAAATTTTTTAAAAAATTTACCAAAAAAACAGAATATTGAAATTTTTATTTTAAATGATTAAGAAAGTAATCAAGGTAAAATACGGAATGAAAAGATTAATTAAATTTTAAAAGTTAAAGAAAATTAAACACTGTAAAAGAGAAAATTTTTCTTTAAATATTTTATTTCTTTAATAAGACAATATAACATTCGTTTTATTAAAAAATTCAGAATTTGCTAAAATTCTACTAAAAATTAAAAAATCTACCAAAAAGTAAGCATAATCGTTGCTGTTTGCTACATTCATTAATACTCACTAATAAATCATTAAGCCAATCATCGACATTCCAAATACAATTTTTACGTCCGGAATTTTGGTATTCAACACTGAAAATAAAAGGACTGAAATAATTGAAAAAAAAAATAGATTTTTTAAACTAATTAAACAATTAAAAAAATAATTGTAAAATAAAATTAAACCTATTAAAATAAAAACAGAATAATTAAATATAAAAAAGTAATAAAAATAAAATAATTAAAGTTTAGATATATTATAATGTTTATTAAATAATCGTATCTTGTCTATTAACACAAATGAATTAAAAGTATAAAATATATTTGTCAAAACAAAAGAATCGATATAGTAATAAAATTATAATCATAAATTTCATACATAATTTTCCTTTTTTGTTTTGTTTTCTTCTTAAAAAATTGCATAAATTTTTAGCAATATTAATTAATTAATTATTTATTTTTCTTTTCAAAAACGTTAAAATGATTAAAAATTTCAGATATTGCAGCAAAAATTAATGAATTTTTATAAAAGTTATTAATAACAAATTTGAAACCTTTTAAATTGTAATCCTCGACTTTCCACAAATTTTTTAGCAACCAATGCAATTCCACTTTGTACAGTTGCGCCAAGACCATGGCAATAAAGAACAACTGGTGTTAATTTATTCATTAATAAAATATTGTCGCAATAATCGATGAAAAGTTTATATATTAATTTCAAAACCTCATCTATAATGCATTCATTTTATCATTTAATTAATGACAAAGACAGATTCTAATAGTTTTCTTCCCATAAATTTAAAAGAAAAATATAAGATTTAATTCAAAATTTTTTTCCAATATTTAATAAAAAATTTAAAATCACTAAAATAATTTTAATATACCAAAATTTTTAAAATTACGATAACTTTAAAAAAATGTTCATTAGTAGTAAAATAATTAATTCAATAAAATCAATCATTGCTGTCCTGATTGGATAATTTTTAAAAAAATGAACAACTATAAAAGAAAAATAAAAAAAATGTTATTATTTAAGAAATGAAAGGAAAAAACTAACCAAAAGTATTATTGGAAATAAGCGCATAACTTGTAAAGGGAAGAAATAAGTATAATCAAAAAGAAATTAATAAAAAATAATTTTAAATTAGTAATAGAAGAAATTGCGAAGTAGGGGAAACGAATAAAGTGACCCCGACGAGCAATTAATTGTGAACTAGGCGGTAGGAGTGGAATTAAAAACGAGTTTTCATTAATCAAAATACAATTAATATATTGATAAGAAATGATCAGTACATTCATTTAATCAATAAATAAATTTATCATAAGTAAAATATAAAAAATATAAAAAGGAATTTATTTTTGTTATCAGTTTTACAAAAAAAAAAATCGTTTTTGAAATAATTCAGGGAATTTTTGACAAAAAGTCAAAAACAAAAAGAAAAAAGTCTCAATTGCATTTATTGTAATCGTAATAAAACTCGATTTATACTTGAAATAACATTAACAATATGTGAAAAGGTTAAATTTATAATAGAAAATATTGGAAATGAATTAATATAATCAATGGTCTAATTGAAAAAATTTTTACAATAAACTGAATTATTTTTCCTTTTTTGACCTTTTTTTTTTTAAATTTCTGTGACAATAAGAGATAGCGGCAATAATAGCAACAAATTAAATCGATGAGAAAATCCGGAATTATTTCATCTTACACGTTAGGAATTCCGGATTGTGATTTTTCTTCAACTATTAATCGTTCCGCTTGATTCTGTTTCACATACTGTAATAAATAAATGATAAATTAATAAATTATATTCTTTTTTGATAGAATTATAAAAATTAGAAAATAAAAATAATATGAAAATAAAAATTTTTTTTTGCATTTAAAATTTTTTGCAACTCTTTCTTTAAATTTCAAAGAAAAAAATTCATCGAAAAATATTTTACACTTTTTTCATCCTTAATAATTAAAACTTTTCGAATTTTATTAGTGTTAGAATTATTAAAGAATTTTCAAAATCACTTGTTAAAATTATTACAAATCATTTTTTTGGAATTTAATTTAAAATTTTCAGTTGTTATGTATAACATTACCAGAATTACATATGATTAATATTTTACTTATTAACTGATATAATAAATGGAAATTTAATCAATTGATTATTGTGATTTTTCTTCAACTATTTAATCAATTGATTATTATATGATAATTTTATTATAAAAACTATTTCGTTTTTATGTATGATTCGAGTTTAAAAATAAGCAAAAAATGATTGATAATTGATAAACTGGGTGAATTTTGATTGGAATTTATCAGTATTTGATGAAACTGTTTTATAAAAATTAGAAGAAAGAAATGTTTAGATATTAATGTAATATGACTTCTTACGTTTGATTGTATAACGTAATAATCATCTGACTTCGTAATTCACGTAAATGCACGTAATGTATCAAATTAACCTCATTTATGTTTAAGTCATCTTTTGTCTTCGCATTACACAAATGCTTGCGTTGTTCATAAGCTGTAATCACTTTTGAACTTTTTGGCTTTGTAATATACGGCTTCCACTTTTTCTGTCGGCCTGCTTTTATTGTTTCTTCTTCATGTTCTAATACTGCCTGAGGATTAATTATTTAAACATAAATATTTATATACTTAAATATTTTATTGAAAAAAACTACTTAAGCAACTATAATAAAACATTTTTTTTTCAAAAAAAAAGACTTTTTTGAAAATTTTAAATATTTTTTTTGCATTAGAAAAATGAAAGAAAAGCAATAATACAATGATAATATCTTGTTTTACAAATATTATTCAGATAAAATAACTGATTTAAATTAATTATTTCTATTATCTAATCCCTTTTTTTTTGTTATCGAATTTAGTTAAATGAATAAATTACTTTAGCTTCTTTCGATTTAACCATCTTTTTCATTTTCGTTTTCTCATCCTTTTTACAGCTGCCCACGTTGATTGCACTTTTGCGCTTTTGTCCATTTCTATTTCTGATATTTGCACAATGAAATAGTATTATATAAGCATTAAATTTTAGCAAAAAGCATTTTATTTTTTATTTTTTTGTCAATAATTTATTGTAAATTCTTACAAAAGTAAATGCGCAAATGGAAATATTTAAATGAATTTCTATCTCTGATACCGCTGATAATGTTATTTTATAATGTATTTTTTATTGTTATTGTTTTTTTTTTTTTTTTTTTTTTTTTTTTTGTACTGAAGAATTTCTAAACAATACTTTTTGTCATTTCACTATTTGTTAGTTATTGAATATTTAAACTAATTACAAACATTAATGAATTAATAAAAAATTTAAAATTAAAAAAATTAATGAAAAAATTAAAATAAAAATGACAATACTTTTTCGTCAGTTTGCTGCCATCAATAATCATCGATTCGAGAATAAGAAATAAAGTGAAGAGAAAAATAATAATTCGATAAGTTTGCATTTCAATGCAAGTTTTACTACTGATCTGTTAGAGAGAAAATGAAGAGAAGGTAATGATTTTCTATGTCCATCTTATCAAATTTTTCCTAAATTTGATAAAAACTGATAAGTTTTGCTCATTTTCCTATTAATCATGACATATTTTATAAATCGAAAAAAATGAAAAAGAGACACAAATTTATCAACAATACTAAATGATAATCAAAATAACTGCTAAAATATTCACTAAAAATTTTGCGTTGTGACATTTTACACACACTTTAACACTTTAATTTTGACGTTTTATATTAACTCAAAATTAATCAGTTATTTTGAAAATGAAATAATCATTTTCATTTTAGTTTATTTTCTTTGTATTTAAATCACAGTAGCAGCAAAAAAAAAATTTTTTTTTATTATCAAAATTAACACAAAATGAAATTACAGTGAAAACTATTATGGAGAATTTTTGGAATTAACATTAATTTGTAAGGTATAGAAAACATAAATAGATAAATAATTAAATAAATCAGTAAGTAAAAAAACAAATAAATGAGTGAATGAAACTGAGAAATAGAACATAATAAAAAAATATAAACATATACGAACGCAACACACACGAGGAGAAAACGGGAACATAATAAATATTATTAATTTAACTTAAAAACTATTATTAAATATTTTAATATAATTTGCAGAATCAAAAAAAAAAAATTAAAAATATTTTAGAGAAAACATATTTAAATAACAAATTAGTCGAAAAATAATGCAGAATTTTATTAAATTTTTTATATCAATTAAACTCACTCAGAAATTTGAAAAAATAATCGTAGATCAATAAGAATGATCAATTTTAAGTACATTAATATAAAATATGCTAAAATCATTTATGACTTCATTTCTGATTATAATAAATTAAGTGAATTTAAATCAATCGAATTCAAATATTAAATATATCCTTAAAGTCAAAATAATAAGTGGCATATTTTATAACAAAATTTATTCTAAATTGTCATTGTGAACAAAAAAAAAAAAAAAAAAAAGAAAAGGAGCATAAAAATTAATGAATTCGTTTCATATAAAACATATTGATTTATGTTTGCTATCATTTCTCAGATATTTATTTATTTACATTTTATCGTTGAAACTTTTTTCTTTTTCTTTTATTTATTTTTTATTAAATTAGACAAATGAATGAGATAAAATGGAATGAAATTGGATAAAAAAATGAAAAGAATCAATTCGATGGAAATATTTTATAAAATAAGAAAACATATTTATTTATTTTTTTTCGTCTCGTTGAATATCAATCATAATCTAATCACTTCAGCAAAATTAATCAATAGAATCATTTCATTTTAATTCCAGTATTATAAAAAATGAAAATTATAAAGCAATGATCAAATTAATGTTATCGTACTCTTTAATGAAAAAAAAAAAAAAAAAAAAAAGATGGGCTATTGCCGGAAATATTAAGTTTTAAAGTTAATTTTTCAATTTTGAAATTTAATGCAATTATTAGAATAAATCATTGAGATAATCAGGAAGTAGAAGAGCAGAAAAAGAAACTAACTATCTAGAAATTTTTAAAGGTAAAAAAAAATCAGGAATTGTTTTTTAATTAAATTTCTGCTCCTACAAAAAAAAAAGATGAAATATGCAATAAATATTAAGCATCTTTTTATCGAAAAAGGCACTCAGAAGATGTGCCTATCAAATAATGATTATATATAACTTTAAAGCATTGCACCATTTAAATTGTTTTTTAAAAATTTAAGTGAAAAATCACCGGAAAAAGAAAACTGACCGATTTAGCAAAACCAATAAAAAGCTTATCATAAAACTTTAGCGTAAAAAAATTCATAGAAATTTCCCTGGCTTATTTATTAGTTTTTTTTTTCGTTAAAAATAGAGAATAATTTGTAATTATTATTATTTATTATTTTAACATTCTATATATATAAATAACGCATATTATAAGAAAATACTGATAAGAAGAATTAGATAGAAAGGATGATAATTTAACAAATAATATGAATTAAATATTATTGATAAATTTATAAAAAATAAAAAAAAAATTTTTTTTCGAAGCTCATTAAAGTTTATCGCAAAGAAGTTTTTGAATTTTTCGATCAAAACTATCCCAAATTATCATTATTGCAAAAATAACTTACATACTTCTATATGATTTTTTTTTTTGAGGAGAGAAAAAAACAGAGTGAAAAAAAAAGTCAAAAAAGAAAATGATTAAACTAAATCATATCTAAACTTTTACAGCGAATATTTTTTGCAAATTCCATGAATAGAACAAAAGTGAAAATTAAAAAATTAATTGATTAACTAAAGATTAATGAGGAGGAGTAAAGAAGAAATGATTAAAAAAATATAAAACCTAACATTCTAGCATTAATGCTAAAACTTTGTTTCATTTGATAATCACTGATAATTCTGAATGATAACGAAAAAAAGAAAGAGAAAGAGAGAGAGAGGAAACGTAGTAGAAGTACAAAAATTACCTTAGAAACAACATTCACAACACGATAACAAATTAAATTTAAGAGATGAAGCTCTCTGTACAATGACGAGATCAAAATGCATCCAAATATCTCATTTTTATTTTTAGTTTTTAATTTTTTCTTTTTTAATTAGTAAGGTAATGAGAGAAAAAAAAGACAGAAAAAATTAAACAAATTTTCATAAAGAAAAAAATAAATAAACAATTAATTTTTGTTAAGCGAACTTAAGTAAAAAATAACAATTATAAACCTTTTATTCAAATTAATAAATCAAAAAAAAAAAAATTCCGTTTTATGTTGCTAATGCATCATGATATAAGGATAAACTTAGCTAATAGAATTACTTAAAATTTAGTATAAAGAATTTATAAACAAATTAATATGGATTACTATAGAAAACGATATCACTATGTAAGCGTATATACCTAAAGAATTTTACAAATAAACTGTTAATTTATTAGGCAAAAATAGTTGTTTACAATTTTTATTTTAAATAATAAAAAAAAATCTTTTTTTAAATTATTTATTCATATCCAATTGTATAAAAAGTTAAAGAAAATGACTGAAATGCTATGATTCAACTTTTTTCTTTTTTATTCAGTTCTAATGTATTCAAAAAATGATTAAACTAAAATAAACAAATAGTAAATAAATCAATTATGAACTTCTTAAGATTCTAATTTTCAGCAATTACTTACTATATGCCTTATTTTTTCAATTCAAACAATGTCATTGTAGTAAAATGAAAATAAGCAATAAATTTCTGAAATAAAAAAGAATCGACCAAAAAAAAAGAAAGAAAATTCAATATTTATATGATTTCAGTTAATTTTAATATTAAAATTTTTCTAATGTAAAATTTTTAAATCAATATATATATATATATATATATATTTAATAATAAAACCTACATCTACAACAACATTTATGATAAAATGATTAAATTTAACAATGGACAAAACGATAGCTGTACAATAAATGCTCATGTCACATAATTTTAACAAATTGCAATATCAATTTAATTTATGCTATACCGAAAATATGAATTGATTTTGTGTACAATATTATCATTATTTTAATAAAATAATATTTTCATGAAAATTTCTAATATTTGATATTTTTTTTCTTTTTACAATTTCTAATCGTATGAAATATGATTGAATTTAAAAATAAAATTAATCATCGGAAGAAATGAGAAAAAAATTAAAAAAAAACAGGAAATTAATTCATCAATTTAATAAATTAACTTTCAAAAAACCAACAAAAAGTAAAATAATTTGCAAAATATTTTAATTTTTTTAACAAATAAAAAAAGCATTAGACAGAATAAAAGAGAAAAAATGAAATAATTGAAATATCAACAAATGAATAATGTATTATGATATGTTATTGTTGATGTACTGTTGGCTTTATATGAAATGATGAATCTTTCGCATTCAAATATATTCCATTAACAATATCACTGGTGGAAACTTTCTTGCAAATTGCATACTGTTATTGAAATAAGTTAGCAAATTAGACAAATAATTCGGTAAACAAGTAAATAAATAAATAATGATTAGACGTTTTATCATTTAATATTATTTACAAATGTAACACCTACCTTCCTAATTGTATCATTTGGTTTCTGAAACCTTATCTAAATTTTTAAAAAAATGAAACCTCACGCTAACAAAATTTATAAAAAAGAAAAGTTATCTTATAATGTAGCTTTATGACAAATAAACGATTCCGGAATATAGTTGATTATGCTGCTTCATTAATATTGTTGACCTTATTTATTTGATTTTGAAATTATTTATTTATTTCAAATGATTTCGCTAATTAATTTTAATATTCCTAAATGAATTAAAATTGCTATTTGTAAAATGAAGTCAATTGAAAAAAAAAAGTTGCAGAGTCAAATTGCTCATAGAAAGTAATATAGTTTAAAAAAAATTAAAAATGATACCAAATTATGCTTATCATCTTTTAATTGATTGGAATTTTGAAAGCAATTCAATCGTGCTTCACACTGGCATGAATCTTCGCAAAATTCACCTTCTTTTAACATATACTGATAACATATGTTAACTGTTGATGTTATCGATGAATTTGCATCCATTGTTGAGAAGCGGTGACAACATAAGCCTTAAAATTGAGTTTGAATTATTTGAATTTTAAGAGGAGAAATTTGATTATGTCGTAGAAAAAAAGAAACAGGAAAAACTTTAAATGAGAATAAATGGAATTCGCTAACATTAATGATAATATGATTTCAGCTAATAAAAGATATCAAAAAATTTTACAGTATGCAAAAAATTTGCAAATGCAAGTTGCAAATTGCATCAAAAACAATAAATGCATATTTTATTAAAGTTACTTTTAATAAAGTCAAATCAAATAACTACCTGGTTTGCAATCATTATGACCAAGACAAATTCCACCGGATTCACCGTTTTTTGATTGA